ATTGGCCTGCATCTTTAGAGTGCCTAATTTACAGCCATGTTTCATAGAACACAAAAAGGTTTAAGTCTACCTTCAAGGCAATTTGTTTCTCTTTATTTAAATTTATAAAAATGGCAAACTGATTATGATTAGGCTTCTTCCATGAGTCTGCAGATGATCAATGCAGGAGCTGCCGAGCTGTGGTGACTAGGCAGCAGCAGTTCTTGGGTGATGCACCCCAGAACCAGAGAGGAGGGAGCCCGATTCTGGGGTGCATCACCCAAGAACCACCATCTCGCAATCTGGGGACCCCTGGGGGATGTTGGAGAGCTGGTTTTGGCCCATTCCTGCAGGCCAGGCCCAAGGACCCCACCTGCTGGAGAGACCCACTCACTCTGCAGACGCCCTTTCAGCCAAGGCACTGCCCCATGGGAGGTTGGCTCCAGGGCATGTCTGGCCCATTTCACCCAGTCCTGACTCACTGGCCACCTTCTAATTATTTTCCTTTCAATGTGCTTGAATCCGTGCACCAAGGCACTAATATATATATATATATATATATATATATATATATATATATATATATATATATATATATATAGCTAAGCGACTGCCCAACCTTCCCACCAGCTGGTAGTTATGATTCTCACTGACCACCAGGGGGCAGATGCTCAATGAAGGAGCTGCCAAGCTGTGGTGACTTAGCAGAGGTTGTTCTCAGTTGATGCACCCCAGAGAGCAAGGAGCCTGATTCCTCATAGGGCTGCATAATTCCACCATCGGCCATGGGTCATGTTGTTGCTGGGGCACTGTTGGCCCTGAATCTGGTTTACTGCACACTTGCATTTGTGTTCCACACCTTGTATGAAAATAACTTTGAAGAGTACCTTTTCAAAATCTGTGACCCCTCAGGGAATGTTGAAGAGCCCGTTTTGGCCTGATCCCCACAGGCCAGGCCGAAGGACTCCACCTGCCAGAGAAACCCTGCTCACTCCACAGATGCCCTTCCAGCCACAGGGCCACCTCAGGTGCAGCTGGCAGGGAGGGATCACGGGAGGTTAGCTCCAGGGCATGTCCAGCTTGTTTTGCCCAGTCCTACCTTGCTGGCCCCTTCTAATTACTTTCCTTTCAGTGTGCATGAATTTGTGCACAGGGCAACTAGTCCTATAATAAAAGGCTAATATGCAATTAGACTGAATGGTGGAATGACTTGTAGCTTTGACATGCCCTGACCACCAGAGAGCAGATGCTCACAGCTGGCGAGTGCAGTGTCGGTGGCAGGAGCAGGCCTAAGCTGCAGTGAGACATTCTCCAAGGGCTCCCGGACTGCTAAAGGGCACAGGCCAAGCTGAGGGGACCTAGTCTCCCCCAAGTGCATGAATGTCATACACTGGGCCTCTGGTAATATTATAAGCATCCATGAAAGAGGTATAGGGGAGTTATGAAATTATAGAATGTGTGTGAGTGTAAGAGAAAATGAGAGGGGATAGGGAGATATTATTAGTACTAGATATGTGATAGACATATCTAGTACTAATAATATCAAATTTTATGAAATTAATTACATAAATTGTAAATGATAAATCAGAAGTCAGTGTATTTTGAAGCAATATGAGATCAAAATTATTCACAGATAAAAATTAAAAAAGAAACTGTGAGCAATTGGAGAATTTGGATGGGAATCACTGTATTCAAACACTTAAAAGTACTATCCTGCAAATGAAAACTATCGGGATCATGAAGAATAGGATGCATACCTTAAATCTTCTCACCGTCCACATGCCTAGGATTAGATTCTGTTCCTGGTTCGATTTCTAATTCTGTAATCAAACAGATATTTCTTTCCCTCAGAACCAAAAGATTTCATCTCTAAGATAATAAAAGTGAATTTTCAAACCTATTTTTAGCACGTTTAGCACCAGCATTCTTTATTTTCTTGTACAGAAGTTCACTATTAGGGTGACTGCTTTTATTTGAACGGTGGTACAGGAACTAATCTAGTCTAATTACCTCCACTCTCTTGTTCTGCCCTCGAGGCCTCAGAGACACATCCAAAGAACACAGTTTGCAAATCACTGAGCCAATGACATAAGAGATTCTTTTCACTTGTAACAATCTTGAAATTAAAACAGGAAAGCTTAATTGAATATGAAGCATGCCTCCAGTCCCGATGAGATAAAGAAGCCCACCCTCTTCTTTTGTATATTTTTTAAAATAGTATTCTGTCAGTCTTGTAAATTACCACCCACACCTGTGAAAGGGAAATAGCTGGACCTCTTTCTTACAAAGAGCCAACCCTACTTAATTTGCTAAATACATGTCACTTGCTCTGAGCAGGTTGGCGTCTGGGTCAGACAGGTTCTCTTGCAGTACTAGAGAGGATGGATAATTTTTAACTGAACTGTCCGCACATATTTCTGTGTAAATCTTAACTACATCTGTTTATACATCTCTTTCACACATTCATGGCATGTCAATGACTTGAATTAAAGTACCAGAGACAGGAGCCATACCTGAATTTTCCATTTAAAATAGATATGCCCACATCACCATTTGCTTTAGGCACACTATTTTTGCTGTGGTTGTTGCTGCCTTGAGCCCACTTTGTTTGAATGCTTCAAAACATCAGCTTTCCACAGAGCAATGCCTTAATGTAGAATTTACCCAAAGTGCATATAGTATTTACATAGCACATTAATTTTTAAAGTACACATTTTCAAAGATGTGGCGCAGAACTACAGCTAGTCCTGGAACATAGCTGATACCCAAGATGTGAATTCACGCCAAGCCATGACAATGCACAGGCATTCCTAAACACAGCCAGTTTCAGCTAGTTATATGCTTCCAAATTCTCCAAATACTCCAAATTTGAATGTTCCAGGAAGCGGACTTTTTATTCCCTTAGGAATTAGTTTGATACGGAAGAGGATGGGAGGCATTGCATTCTCTTTTAATGATTTTAGGTGACAGTGGTTATCCTCTGGAAAACTACTTAATTACTTCTTTGTCTTATCCCCAGACTCCTTCTGAAACAGAATCAATATAAGTTAGATTGGAACTCGATAAGTGACCAGAATGATAATGAAGAACGCATTAGGAAGAGTTATAAATGGGATGTGGATGCCCCCCATTCAGTCTGGCGGGGCTCTCTGTGCCACCTTCAGACATTTGAAGGCTCTAGAATACCTTCTGTTAAAAGACAAGCTGGCCATTCAAGCAGCTTGTCTTTTAAAAGAAGCAGCAGAGATTGACACAGCTCACCAAATGCCTGAAGTAAGTGACTATGATGATGTGTACTTTTTGCAAATTTGGTACCAAATAGTAAAGTAGAACTAAAAATATTGGGACAAGATGATTTTCATTTTGAAAGGAAGAAAAAAAATATCCTTTTACCTACTATGTTTGGGTAATTATTTCTATTACAGAAGTAAATTAGGCATTCTATTTTACCAGCGTGTAGGTGCTTCGGCAGGAAATACTAGGAAAGAAATTACTTTGGGCTGAGGCATGTCTTTTCTGCTAGCAGACACTGGAGAGGTAATGGTGAAATTTCATTTGAGGATATGTCTAGTGATTGAGGTTTGCAGGAATGCCCAAAGTTCATTTGTCCAAAGTGTGGTGTTGACCTACTTATTTTTTTAATCTATTTTAGGGAAAAATAATTATTATTTTTATTGGAATATTTTTAACATAGTTGAAATTAAAAGCATATTAGTTGACATAATTATTGACCTGTATTATTTTCACATTTATAGCTACTAATAGTCCAAGTTTTAAATTTCATTTTCCAATCAACCTCAGTTTTGAAAGGCACATGACTTAATGAGGAAGAGGCATGTTTTTCTTATGGATAAATGCTCAGCAAAACAAAGCAAAGCTCAAACCTAGCTATTTTATAGTTGAATTTATTTTATTTTTTAAAACTTTATTGTGGAAAGTATCATGTAAGTCCACTTTCCTCCTGCTTGAACTCTTCTGACCTCCTATTTACAATATTTAAATTGATCTTTGAACAAAATAGATCCAGAGACATAGAAGGATTCACCTCCCTTTCGGAGACTGACATGGAACTTAGTTCTCAATGGAGGGAACTTTTGCTTCACAGCTACCCGTTTACCCCATTGGGGAGAGATGAGGAAATTTATTATTTTTTATTGCTTTTGCATTTTTTTTAATAAAATGTTTTGCATGTTATCAACTAGCCAGAAAACACATTAAGATAATGTTAGATTGCCTCTTTGGAATAATTGCTGGCAGTTTTCAAAGTACCCTCATATAGGATAGAGGAGATAATCTTTCTAAGGTTTGAGATTTTATTTATGCAATCATTTTGCTAGCAGAGTACTAGGGTGCTATTCAGTGAAAAATGATTATGATATTTTGGATTGTGGAAAAAATATAGCATTATTCACAATAGATATGTGTATATATACATATATTTGAGATATATGTCTTTGAGATATATGTATTTAAGATACATATACATGTATAAGATGCAAGCCAAATAATGATATTTAAAGAAAAATAATGAAGTCTATTCTTCAATTCAGATAGAAGAGTCTTAAACTGATATCCTTGCCCATTGAATTTAATTCCAGTCCTGGCTTTTGTACTGACGATCTAAATTCTTTACCTTAGAAAAATCATCCAGTTTCCTTTACTCCGGTGCTCTCATCTATAAAGTGAGATTATGTGAATAAACAATGCTTGCTAACCTGTGGACAACAGTTCCCTGAGAGTTGCAGAGTTAGTTTAAAAGGTCTTAATTCCAAATAGGAATTTCAAGCTTTGCTTATAAATGGTTTAATGATTTATTCACCTAAGCAAAATACATTTAAGTGTATTTAACAAAAGTTTTCCAGAAGCATTCCTTAATTGATAGGAGCTATTTGATGTAATGTAAATTTTCAATTAATTGAAACTATCCACATCTATATATCATAATGTTTTTCATTTTGATCTTAGAAAGGGGTCTTTATATGGGAACAGGTTTGGTAATCACTTGAAGAGATAATTTTTTTTACATATGGGACTTCTTCACTAATTTGCATGTCATCCTTGCAGAGGGGCCATGATACTCCTCTTTGTATCATTCCAATTTTAGTATATGTGCTGCCAAAGTGAGCACAAGAGATGATCTTTAAAGTCACTTCCAACATAGTATTCTATGATTTCAGGATAATTTCATCATGTCTACCATGGCATGATTCAAATGAAAAGTAAATTTGGCAAGATGAGCTCTATTTTATGGAATAGTTTTGTAACATATATTCTGAGATTTAAAATGTGACCTTTTCTTTCTATTATAGGAATGACCATGTTAGACAGTCCTTTGGTCTATTACATTTATAATGTTTGACATAAAAAAAAAAGACAGAGAAGCTCATATCTAAATTATGGGTAGGGCTGGTCAACTGTACATAGAATTGCTTATTTTAGACTCACCAGGGCCTCATCAGAAATGCTTTGAGAATTTTAAAAATCCTTTTTATTGCCATACATTCTAGCTTTATGATTTTTACATCTAGGAACATCACTTATACTGTCTAGAAAATCCATTGAAATACTCCAAGCCTACATTTCTGGACATTCACCTTCCAAGACATCAGGTTATCAGGACTAGTATTCATCCCTCCTGTGCTCACCTGCACTACAGAATTGCCATATACCTACTAGGGCTAAGGGACAGAGATTTAACGACTTCCTCCTCCTCCAATTAGATAGATGCTGCCAGAAATGCTTACAGTACAAGTTGTAGTCTATATGTGGTAATGGAAACAGAGTCTACTCAATTTAGATTCAAATGTATCGATCATCTATTGTGAGTTGAGTACTATGTGAGCACTTTTCTATAAAATGTGGATGCCAACCCTTTCAGGAACCCAGTGAATTAGATCTCCCGTTCTTTATTCTAAAGAGGTCATACAGCTGGTGAGTAGCCAGCTGGGATTTGAAACTCAGAGTCCTTGATACTCTTTGCAGGTGTGATTCAGAGGGAAGATCCTGGCCAGCAGGGGGTGAACTGCTTGAGGGTCTAATTAGGAGGCCCTCTTAACTTAAAAGATCACTTTCCAATCCCAGTATATTAGGCAGTTTCTTTCCCACTCATGCTCACACTTTGGTTTTCTTTCTCCAAGCACTCTCTGTCTTACCACTTTGTCTTTTGGGAAGAGAATAGGACTACCACACATGAAAGTATGCTTCTTCAGGAATTTGAGCCTGGACAAGAAATGCAGATTTCTCAGGAAATCTTTAGCACAAAGCAAATGTTCCTTAGTGAGTGAGGATGTATAAGAATGACTTGGAGAAAACAGGAGTTTAGAGATCATGTAGTACAGCCTTTCCATTTCCCCAATGAGAAAAACAAAGCCCAAGGAAGGGTAATGAATACCCTAAAGGCCTTGAGCTAAACAATGACAGCTCAAGGACTCAAAACAAGGTCTCTTGAAGCTTCTAACCCTACTTGGCACTTCACTTCGTATAAGTGGATCCCTGGGAGTATGTTGACTGTTCTATTTAAAACCATGGATATGTATTTTCAGGCAATTATTTCTCTAAGTCATATAAATCTAAAATACAGAGTTGATAAGAAATTACTGCTGCATCAGCATAAAGTCGATAAATAATATGTTAAGATCCTTTCCTAAGACCTCCCCTAAACTCCCAGCCTTTAAAACTCTCAAGACCAAGGACTTACTTTGCACTTTCCCCTTTGGAAGCAGGCCTGTGCCTTTCTGGTCCCTCCCTTCCTGCCCCCAGGAGCCTTATCCTTGCTATTCCCTCTCTTAAGCTGCAAGGGTCCTTCTTTTGCTTCTGTAACTTGTTTCCTGAGCCCACCAACCCAGCTGGATCACTTCTACTACCTCTCTTTCTAAATAAACTTTCAATTACAATAATAATAAAAGGAGAAATGACTGGATAATACAATTTTCTGTAATCACAGTTGGAGGAAAAATTAAAACCGTATCTTAAAAAGTGGACTAGAGGAACCCAAAAGCATTGTCCGGTTCTTGGTGTAGAAGTTTGGGCATAAACTTCAGCATTAATTGGTCAAAATTCTCAGTTCACTTTTCCCATCAGCCTCAGCATTTGCTTTGTGTTTGATTTTTCAGATGGCATAGTCCTTTCCAACCTAGCTCATTCTCAGGGCTTAGCATGGAAGGCTGGAGTCCCTTTGAACACTGACTGTCAGTTGCACACTACATTACATCATTGCTGTAGTCACATGTAGCCCGTTCTCCAACATCTAAAGAACTGGCCAGCGGAGAGCCTGGGCAGCGTTGGCCAATGAACTTTATGTGAAGCCAAGGATAACGTAATTCTGCTACTGTGCAAGAGGAGATTTGTACTTCCCTAAGCAAATTGCCTAGAAAGGAACCATTGTGGTCTCCTCTAATAGGGCGCCTGACTTCTTCAGCTGCACTGCTGTATCTCTTAGCTTTTTGAACAGAAGTTTCTTCTAAATCCTGGCAATGCAGGTAATTAGAAAACTGCCTGTGGGATTTGGAGAAAACCCTTGCAGAGCCTTCTTTCCTTTTTCCAATTTTCAATGTAGGGTTCCTCTAGGTCAGAGGTCGGCAAACTCATTAGTCAACAGAGCCAAATATCAGCAGTACAACAATTTAAACTTTTCTTTTTCTTTTTTAAATATATATATTTTTATTGATTTTTTACAGAGAGAGATAAAGAGTTAGAAACATCGATGAGAGAGAAACATCAATCAGCTGCCTCCTGCACACCCCACTGGGTCTGTGCCCGCAACCAACATACATGCCCTTTACCAGAATTGAATCTGGAACCTTTCATTCCGCAGGCTGATGCTCTATACACTGAGCCAAACTGGTTTCAGCTGAAATTTCTTTTGAGACCCAAATTGTTTTAAACTTAAACTTCTTCTAATGCCACTTCTTCAAAATAGACTCACCCAGGCCATGGTATTTTGTGGAAGAGCCACACTCAAGGGGCCAAAGAGTTGCATGTGGCTCGTGAGCCGCAGTTTGCCGATCACGGCTCTAGGGAACCTTTCTAGGGGTTCAAATTATTCCACTTTTTTCTAGGATGTAGTGAAACAATCCACTCCTTTATTATTCTAATACATTCTGCAAATATTTAACAAACACAAACTATGTGTTGGGTGCCTCAGCTAGAACAGCAGCAAATAAGGCATTTCCTTGCCTTCTGGCATTTACGCTAGTGCTTTTCAGGGGCGTGTCAGAGCTTCACCTTGTTTTTGAAGCCTTTTTAGCTTCTTTGCCTGGGGGATTCTTTCTGGAACCTCAAGAATTTATTTGGCCTGCTGGGCAGGAATAATTAAATGTAAGTAAAACAATAATTTAAGAAAAGATGCCAGTAGAAATCATAATTGCTCTTGTTTCATTTTATTTTAACAGAAAATTTAAATATATATATATTCTCTATTGGCTTAAAATCCATTACATCACAATGGGAATAATATTTTAAATTTCAGTCAAACTTCATATATGATCTGACTGGGAAAACAGGAGATGTGAAAGTGATATCATTATAATAATCTGGTTAGTATTTAACAGAAAAGGAGTGAAGGGAAGACTAGGTAATATAGGCATGCCATTTACACAGCTTTGCTAATTTAACACTCTCCAAGTCTGTCCCTACTGATTGATGGGGGAAGGGACTGGACATAGGTACTTGGACGCATACCCAATAAGGTCTGAGTGATGTGGGAAGGTGCTTACCTGTCTGTCAATCACACCTGGGCACAGGTAATGGGCCAGAATAGGTATGATCCCTGCAAGGACTTGAAACCTGAATATGTAAATTTCTGAACAAAGGAAGTTCCCTCTCTTGGCTCTCTGGGGACTTCTGCTGCAAGGGGCACACTCTCCTGCATTTGCCCACATGGCTCTGAGCCATGTGGACTCCACATAATGGACTAATGGGCTTTAATAAACCTGATGCTTAGCCAGCCCAGCCCCAATACTGAACAGAAGCTTTGATTGCTGGTTTGCTTTTGGCTTTGCTGAATCCACAGCTGCCCCTCTTTCAGGACTGGCTTAAGGGACATAAGACTTTGTAACCGGAAGGATGTAACTCTAAACAAATAAAGCCTTTTAGCACATCTCATTCTCCCAGGCAAATCTTAGAAAATTCATTTTCGAAAGGTATCTTAAGAACCTCACTCCCATGAGGGATGGAGAAGTACACCCCCCTGTAACAAAAGAGACTCTCGCGAGGACACCATCAAAGGCAGTTTTATGCTAGGCTATTCTGAGTTTGCAGTGTGGCTACTTATATTTACTCTTTCAGACAGTTGATTTTTATTTTTTATTTTTTTGGAACCACAGAACAACAGGTGAGTAGGTGAAAACTGACGCTTGATACGTTTGAAGTTAAGTTTCACCTAAATATTGAATTGTATAACATTTGACAGAAGCTAAAAGGATATACCACTTCATTCTTTCAAAGAGCTTGAAGCCATTATTTAATTCCCACTGAATCGCTTTGAGGCTCAGAATTTTCATCTCCATTTCACAGATAAATAGGAGAAGAAACCATGGGAGGTTCAACAACGGTCTTAGGTCAGATAAAAAACTCAGTATCAGAGTGGAGATCAGAACTCTGCAAACTTGGGTCCTTTTGACTTCTCTGCTTTGAGAACAATGCATTTTTGCAAACCGACCTCCTCTTTAAATAGCCAGCCACCTTGGTAAAGCCCCTGTGTCCTTTGCAAGTCAAAACTTTCTGACTGGATTTCAGACACTTTGGAAAGTTCTTGCTCTCCTGGAAGACATGGGGTTCACGGTAAGGGAATATCAAAGAATCATGGTGAAATATAAGTAACATAGAAACCATACATCTGATTTATCTATTAACCAGGCCGGTCTAGCATCTCCAAAACCAATTTACTGATTTATTTAGGAAAGTATAAGTCTGAAATTACGCTAATAGTATTTTAGTGTACTAGAATAGTTGACCTTGGAGAAGAACTTGGCCATATTTAGCGTCACGTTCTCAGTCCCTCTTCCAGGAAAAAGAAATCAGTAAATTAACATTTCAAAGAACGTTTAATTTCCTAGATTTTTCTTACATAGCCACTTCAAGTCAGGAGTAAGCAAAAGTAACTAACAAAACTAACAGAACTTTAATCAT